TATTAGATCGCGGAGGACAATTTATCTTAGAATTCTAGACCGAGTTCTATAGAATTCTAGGGATTAGATAGAAGCTTTCGACTATATACTATCTATAAATAGACGGATAAAGTAAGATCGCGAACTAATATATAGCTTAAAGGTTACGTCTATACGTTAAATAGAACTAAGATAACTAGTCTAAGTTATTACTAATAGTTAACTTTACGGTATTAATCCTTCCCTAGGACACTACGAAGAAGTCTCCGTTCTTTATAGAGCGAGGCTATAAGCTATTAATAACATTTAACTAGAGGGATCGAGGATTATTAGTATCGACGCTAAATAAGTAAGAAGTAGCTTAGATGCTCTCGGATCTGTAGGAAATCTAGACTTAGACTAAAGAACAAATTGTAAAATCGTAGTAATTGTAGGTCCGGTAGGTAAATAAGTATCGTCGTAAGGAGGATTTCGGAGTTAACGACTTGGTGTTTATTATAACGAAGGACTAGCTTTAAGATCGACCGAGTAGGAAGCTTTTATACCTAGTAAGTGGGCTATATAGGATTATTGAGAAAGTGGGCAATTCCTACAAATTGGACCTTCTTGAAGCAATTCGGGTATACCCTATCTTCTATCTAAGCAAATTGCGGAAGGCGGCGATAATAGAGCCCCTTACTAGACAGTATATAGATCCTTCCCCGCCGGTATAGGTTAGAGAGATAGACGAATAGGAAGTCGAGAAAATCCTAGATACTAGAATGTATTACCGGAAGCTATAGTATAGAATATAATAGGTAGGATATAACCTCGACTTACAGTGGTATCCTACTAGCGATATAAAGCACGCGCCGAGGAAACTATAGGAATTCTATACACGGTATCCTACGAAGCCGGGTCCTCTAATGCGTTTATAGGAATGGCTACATGCTGACGAAGAAGATCGGGTTCTTAAGGACTATAGTGATAATGATAGGCCTACATTCAGGGACTGAATGCAGTTTTAGCCGGGGGTTATATGACGATCGAGGCTGGACTGGACTTTGCTGGACTGGACTTTCTGCCGTTGTTCACCGCCTACAGAGTTTTCTATCACATGACTCCGCTTTGTATATGTTTGTCATGTTTGCACGAGGAGACAGGACAAGGACAAACAAAGGCCTTGTCGTGCATGTTTTCTCTCTTCTTCTTTCCTTTTCCCTCTTGTACTTAGTATTCTCGTTAAATGCACTCTTTTTGATTGAAGATCTGGCTGGTAACAAGGTCTACTAGTTAAAGTAAGCCCTATATAGACTTCGTAACTTAGCTACTCTCTAGAATAAAGAGCTTAATACTAGGCTAAATAAGATTAGTTTCTATATACTCGATAACGATCTATATATATATATAAAGAAATATAGTAAGTCTATTTAGTTTTTACTAGTATATATAGATAACTTTATTACTACCGCTCCTATAGACGGGGAGGTAGACTAGATTTTTTAAGAGGTAAAATAGTAGTTCGAAATTAAAGATATAGGGGAGCTATCTCGCTTCCTCGGTAGTACTATCTTATAAGACTATAAGAAAAAGATAATCTAAATATTATAGAAGGTATATAGTCTTAAAGCTCTATAATTTATAGAGATATAGTTATATATACTATTTCCTATCCTACTATTACTAGATAGAAAGTGGGATATAGATAATAAAGATCCGGAGACTCTTCTTTATAAAGATAAATATATATAATATAGATCTCTTATCGGTAGGCTAAATTAGCTAGCTATTAAGATAAGGCCGGATCTTAAATTCGCTATTATAAAGCTTTAATACTATATAGCTTTACCTATAATAAATAATATAGAAGCTATATATATAGTTTATAAATACCTAAAGGGGATAACCGAGCTCTATATTACTCTTAGAAAAGTCTCTAATATAACGTTCTTTATATATATAGACGCCTTATATAGTAATTAGTATAATACTAAATCTATAAAAGGTATAATTTAGTTCTTTAAAAGAGCCCCGATATACTAGTATATTAGAAAATAGACTATTATAATACCGTCTTCTACTACTATAGAATAGTATATATTAGATAGATCTATATAAGATATATAGTGGTTTTCGAAGATAGCTACTACTCTTAATCTATAGAACTCCGGAGAACTAATTGTGATCTTAACCGATAATATTAATACCTAGTTACTAATAGGAAAGAAATCGTATAAGAATAGCACTCGTTAGCTTAATATAAGGTGGTTTTTTATTAAAGATATAATTTTCTAAAGTAAAATCGATCTATAGAGAATAGATACGAAGAATAATATTACCGATAGATTTATAAAGCTACTCGAGAAGGATTAATATAAGCGTTTTATCTAGATACTAGGTCTTAATTAATCTATATATAAAATTTCTAGGTAGAAAGGAGGTTTTATAAAGCGTAGGAAAACGATAGAAAACAGCAAAAATAACGAGAGGTTTTTATATAGAGAGTCAAAAAGGTTGTATTATAGCAGTTAGTCCTAAAGGGGGGTGTTAGAGCAGTTACGTGATTAGCATGTGATTGTCACGTGACAGCCCGGGTCCTAGGACTTCTAGTAGTTAGTGCAGATAGCTTCCTCTCTCTTCTTCTTTTCCTCTCTAGAGTCTAATACAGTTTCCCCTATATCATTTCATTCCTGCGTAGCCTTCTCTATCGCTAACATATATTATTAATTAGTATAATATAAAAGGTATATAACTAAAAAAATAAGAAAAATAGAAAAGAAAAATAACCGATATTATTTATTTAAAGAGTAGTCGATAGCTTTAAAAGGCTTTAAAGATAAAACCTTAAAAAATAGGGAGATAATATTATAGAACTATCTATTACTAATCGATAGTACCCTACTAGATATATAGATAGGCTATTAAAAGCTAACTAATCTATCTATTAGTAGATTATATATAATATTTAATACTCTAATATTCCTAGATACTAAAGAAAAGGAATCTATTTATATTTAATAAATAGAAGTATAATTAAGCCTAATTAAACTTACTATTAAAACGGTTATAGTATATATATATTTTAGGGTATTAAATATTACTTATACTAGGAATCACTATATATAGAACTATAGATATATAACTATAACTCCTATATCGATTTTAAGAAGTATATATAGGAGTATATAGCGACTCTAATAGTAACTTTAAAGAGTTACGTTAGGAGTAGGAAGCGAAAGATATATAAGGATACTTATTTATATATTTAGTTTAATTCTTTATCTTTAATTATATATTATTATTTATATTTACCTTTTAGATTACTAATAACTCTATTATTTAATTATAACTTAATAACACTTATAAATAGACTAATACTCTAGTATAGATCTATTTAGCGCTCTATCTAGCACTATTCCTCGATATCTTAAAAAGACCTAATCTATAGTAAGGCCTATTAGGTAATAGTATAGTTAAGAGTATAGATCGTTAACGTTAGAAACCTAAGCGGTATAAGGTAAGTATACCCGGAACCCTTCTAACCTAACTATGACTAGTTGGCAGTGCGTAACAGAAACGCTCCTTAACAACGAATCTCTCAATATTAATGTGGCTAATAACTAAGGAGATTACCCTCAGTATATGATCGACTTCCATACACATTACGCGTTGTCTATTACAGACAAACTTATAGGGAAAGGAGCAGTTATATGCCGATCAAATGGAGCTCGTCAAATATATTTTCACCTCGCTAGCAAGGCCGGGAATTTTGAGGTTTTTCCCAAATTTGTGAATGAAGGTCATGATATCATATTGTAGGACGCCGATAGACTGAGCCCGTTTCACTATACAGTTTCAAAGGGGCATTCGGATATCCTGCATTTTATGTCAACAACTTGCAGCTAAGTGCTATCTAGGGTTTGGAATACACTTGACCATTTCGGTAAATATCCGCTATATCATTATGTCGCGTCTATGTTTTGCTTAGCTGAAGTTGTTCGTTTCCTTATATAGCTTGGTTGCGACGTTAATCAATCTGATACGGAGGGAAACTCGCCTTTAGGTCTTTATTTGGACTCGTTTCATTTCTCAGGTCGAACAGACATATTTTGGCTACTAGCTCTGGAGGGTGCCGACCTGCTTTGGATCAATAAGAAAGGCCAGAATTTGGCGCATCTTCTCACGCATCACAGGGCATCGCATGAGGTGATTCTTGACATTTTGTTTGACATTGGCTTGGATCCAGCAGCCACAGATCTTGACGGTAGAACCTTGATGCATCATGGAGCGATTCACGGCGTGTTCACCGAGGAGCTTTTAGAGTTCCTTGAGTGTAGAGGAGTCCTAGACCTAAACACACGAGATTCAACCGACAATACTCCACTCAACTACGCGGGAGAAGAGGCTAACCGAGAGTTTCCTGAAGATATACTGTCAAGGAATCACCGACGACGGGAAGAGTCATACGAGTGTCTGAAGGCAATGTCTCATGTTGTGCTATAATACTGTCGCACAGAAACAGGATTCTCTCAGCTTCAGGATCTTGCCAGAGGCTGGATACAGGAATGGATTGCGATTGCGCCTGAAAATTATCTGCAGAATCGATCATTGAGTGCGTGGAGGTAGATACAGTACCTTTTAGATCTAGTCTGCTTTCGAACGCCCATCACCTCCGCTGAAATCTCAGTTTTCAAAGAGGCAAGAACTTGAATACATTTTGTTGCTCGTGTCTTTTATCTTGCTCGATTTTGAAGGATTTATCGTTTAGGCTTTGCTCCTTACCTGAATGAGGGGGCGCGCTTCGTCAACGGACTCGTCTAGTGTCTTGGGAAGGGCCGCTGGTTGGTTCATTGGACGAGTCAGAAAGCTTAGATTTTTTTTTGTATCTAACCTGACTGCCTTATTGGACTAGGTTTGCACAGGATTGGGGGTAGTAAACAAAATAACAGGCCTCTCGGACGACGGGACTTTGGATTGAAAATAATCACGTGATCTTTGAGCGAAATGTGGACGTGTGGATTTCGACCTATTGATTGGCCAAGATGGATGATACCGCACCTTTCAATACACTGGGCGTTTATGCCAAATCAACCATGATCGCTCTTCAGGAGCTGCAGAGCGCAGGGTGGCAGCCAGTTGACGATGGGGTCGTGCGCTTGCTGCTAGTGGAAAGAGCTAAGGTCAATGCTCAAGGCGCACATTTCGGGAATGCTCTCCAAGCTACATGCATTGAAGGACTATTGTTGATCATAATAGAATAGACCAACCAGAATGGATTCACGGGAGAGGCGTACACACGATCGTGTTGGGTTCTGAGAGGCTGGAATCACGGTCGGTGGATCGTAGAGGAGGGGCGTGAAGTCCGTGTGATTAGGCCGGGGAGAATGTCCCTAGGCAGAGCACGGAGGTGTAGGCAACGGTTCATGGACCTCCCCCATACACTGGGTTTCCGAAAGATAGGCCGCGCCATACAGCCCGGAACTGCGACCTCACACGCCTGGCAGAGGATCGAATTGTGGTCCAGATGAAAGGCCTTTCTCGCCTCCAGCCGTCTTATAATATTGCTTATGCTTGCCCGGTGGGATTTACTAACGGCAACAGGGCCCTGGAAATCTGGGTTTACTGTGCCGAAGAATTGATCGCGGGCCTATGACATTGGTCAGCTCAACCAGGGCTCACTATAATTGATCTATCCGAGCGTCCGAATAGCTAGCTCGGGTAGAACGGCGATATTCGCGGTCAGCTTATTCCTAGGTATGAGGGGTTACACTTCCAAGGGGGCTTGGTCGGGTGGGGAAGTCACAGCTGGTGATTCGTCGCTCAACATCATCATATCCATATGAAACTCAACAAGTTGTGAGTTGGACTTGATCCTTTTGAAGTTTGGAGCGGCGAAACAACATCAACAGTGCGTCACAGATCTATAATTCTATGCAAGATTTGAATCAATTTGATACACAATTCCAGAATCAAGGGGCCGCTGGGCTTGTCCGCCATTCCCCATCCACAATCGCCTGAGGGTGGACGTAAATCCTCTAGGATTTTGTTGCGGTAGCGGGTGTCTCAGACATCCACCTCCTCGATAGGTAGGTAGTTCGCTCCTCTCCTAATACAACTCTCACTCCTTCCATTTGGTTCCTACATTCGCAACGCTCAAGAGATTCCATCCAACACTCAATCTTAGAAATCTCTTCTTGGGCTTGCTGCATATACTCATGACTCATCCCAAGGGATTCATTCCCGAGAGCCAGAACTCGCTTGAACCAAGTCAGGGCCTCGTCATACTGGCCCAAATTCATGTGGTTCCATCCAATCTGCAGCCCAGACCGTAGCGTGTGCTTATGACCTGGCCCTAAGGCAATAATCCGACCTTCAAACGCGAGCGAATGCCATTTCAGCGCGTTTTCGAATTGGGATTGAGCCTTATATGCTTTACCAATATTAGAAGCGCACCATAGGGTCTCTTGGGCATCCGGTCCTAATGTACGATTCTGGCCTTCGAAGGCGACAGAATACCACTGAATCGCCTTGTCAAATTGGGATTGACTGTCATATATGACACCAATATCGTGAATACTCTGCAGGGTGTGATAACCATCCGGTCCAAGGGTACGATTTCGACCCTCATAGACGATAAATTCCCACTCGAGCGCCTTGTCAAACCGGGATTGGAGGTGATATACAAGGCCAACAGACCTAGCGCTCCACAGGGTGTCTTCATCATCCGGTCCCAGGTACGGTTTCGACCCTCGAAGACGATAAAATACCACTCAAGCGCCTTGTCAAATTGGGATTGGCGCTCATATGCATAGCCAATACTCCTAGCACTCCATAAGGTGTCTTCGTGATCCAGCCCCAGGGTGCGATTTCGACCCTCAAAGGTGATAGAAAACCATTCCAGCGCCTTGTCAAATTGAAGTTGGTCAGCATACATGGCACCCATATTATTAGCACTCTCCAAGGCGTCTTCATCGTACGGCCCCAAGGTGCGACTGCGAGCCTCATAGACCATGAAATTCCACTCAAGACTTTCATCCACTCTAGATAGATGATTCAAAACAATCCAAATGCTATGCATGCTAGCCACTGTGTCGTTGTGATATAGTCCAAGTGTACGATTCCTTGTGTCGAAGGTCATAAACATCCACACAAGCGCCTGTTCATATTGATTATTCTCGTAATAGACCATAGCCATACGGTGGGCGCTGTCCACAGTTTCTTTGTGAGCTGAACCTAGTGTCGAATTCAGTGTTTGAAACTCGGTCTTGGCCCACTGAGCCTTTTTGTCAGGTAAGGCCTTCGAAGCGAAGTTGGCAAGATAGTTTCGCACGAGACGTAAGACTCTTTCGTGCTTCAGACCGTACATTTCCACCTCCGCCTTCAAGACTGTGCGGTACCATTGGTCCGCTTCCTCGTATCTTTCAAGATTGAACAATTGATCGGCGACAGCCTTTGCGGCATTCTGTGTCAACACGTTGGCCTGGCCTAATCTTGCCACTCGACCTTCGTATGCAACAAGTCTCAGCTCGAGTGCTTTGTCGAAGTTGCGACCTTCTTCGTAAAGAGCGGCTAGCCCGATAAGAGCCCCCATTGTAGCGTAATGACTATGCCCTAGGACACGCTGCCGGGCTGCCAAAATCCATTCGTACCATCTTCTTGACTCGTCAAAATGTCGCAGGTTGTACAGAGCCCAAGCTAAATCTCCCGCAACACTCAGAGACCTTGGGTGCATTGGATGAAGCCTCATGTAAATTTCCGATAGTTCCCATCGAAATAACTGGGCTGCGGCCTGAAGATTATAGTCTCGGAGGGCAATGGTCAATTTGTAAGTAAGTAACCATGGATCATCCTCCAGTTGTTCATCTTCGCGATATAGAGACTTAAAGAACAGTCCCGCTTCCTGTAATTGACCAAGAAGCCAGAGATACCACCACTGCGGCGTTTCATAAATGAATGATAGTCTATGGGGCGGTGTGGCATATGCTGGAGGATATTGGAGGTCCATGGAGGCCAATGTTGGTGCTTTGGTGAGGAATGATCGGGCATTCTCAAGAGCTGCATGGATGTGCGGTCCTAGTCGGTTTGTATTACAGCCACATGTACCCAAGTGACCCTCTGGATGTTTGAGGCGCAATGTACGAGCAAGAAGTAAGAGGGCTCTTTGTGAAAGTTCCTGCTTTCTCTGTAGGGGCAGTCGTTGCCTCAGCCAATAATGAATCAGAGGATGGATAGTGATGGCATTCATTGAAGAGGTAAAACGAATCAGAGAGAAAGACGCAAGCAAATGAAACAACTCGGGAATTGAGTTCTCTGTAAAGAATCATATCAGTCACGCAAAAAATTCCGCTCATTGACAGCCAGGAGAGAAAGACTCACTGTTTGTTTGAAGGTGCACATCGTCAGACAACATGTCCTCGAATATATCATTGTTTGACAAGAAACCACAAAGAAATAAAAGTTCAGCAGCTTCCGGTGTGCTCCTCTGGATTGCCTGGAGAGAGACCTCCCATGTAGTGAGAATTGTGTCGTTACGGTAGTCCCATATAGACTGAGGTCGTCTATGGGCAAGCAGCCTTTCGGCGTTGACGTGATACTGCTCAATGTACTTCTGGACGGCTCGGGTAAACTGCTCTGGATGATCGGGGAGAAAGTTCTGTTGAGCAGATATATAGGCACCGGCCTGCTCTATGGCAAGTGGGAAATACCCTAACAAGTCGAGTAATTCTTCGGCAACAGTGTCTGTTTCGTATGTCAATATAATCAGCCCCTCAGATTGCCAGAACTCTAGGCCTACCTTCAACTTTTCCGTAGAAGCCAGAACTCTTGGCAAATAGAGTCTTGCCCTCTTCTTTGCCCATCTCTCCAACTGGGATACTTTTCCAGTAGCCAGATATATCTTTCCGCCTGCTTGTCAGGAGGATGCTACCAAATGGCACTCTGGGAATATGATTGCGGATGTCGAATGAATCCAAATCGTCAACATTGTCAAATATCAGCAGCCATTGATGGTTCTCTTGCTGTGCCAACCAATCTAGCGTCCCCCTCACAGCCTGAGACACTTTTTCAATACCAGAACCCGTGTCATCCACGAGTATTTCTCCTCCAAATGATTCGGCAAACTTCTTGTATTCAGTGTCATTTGTATGGGTTTTTCGGAAGTGACTCATGACTTGATCAGCCGCATGGGCAAAGCTCCGGCGAATAGCTGGCACACTGGACCCGTCGATCCAGAACACGGATGTGTAGCTATCCATGTACCTATATGCATATTCGACAGCAATCTGGGTTTTGCCTATTCCTCCTGGGCCATGCAGGGCAAAAACGCATTGCTGGGAAGGAGTACATTCTTCCTTAAAATAGCGATGAGCATGCAGGAGAAGATCGGTCCGACCTGTGAACCGATCATTGCGTAGGAATGGCAGCTGAAGCGTGATTCGAAACTCGTCCTTTGTACCCTGACTGCGGCGATATTTTCGAGGTTCAGGAGAGATCGCATTCGATAAGATAGATAATAGAACCTGGTAGCTGCTATCCCGGGAGGCGAATTTATTTAAACCACTATGGTCTACGGGAAGACCAATGTTCCGTACCCTACCTCCTCCAAATTTGGCAGATTGTTCACGAACGCACTATACCCGGAGTCAGAATAATCGGTAATATCGAGACGAACAGACCCGGTCCTTACAAACTCTCTCCATTGAAAAAACCAGAGACTGAATAACAGAGTCGGTCGCTGCTCGAAGACATTGATGAGCTGAGTTTCTGCGCCTATGCCGGCCTCGAACCCTATGTGTAAATCCAGAAGCATGGTAGAATCATACTCTATCTCCTCCAATATGGAAGGATTTGATCCAACCAGTCGAAGTAAACGAGCTACCCGACGACCCCATGAGCTGAACGTGGATCCACGGTGAGGCGTCCCTAGAAAAACGATCGCTCGCGTATTCTGGGATATGTACTCAAAATCCGGGTTTCCACGAGCAAGGACAACGGCCTCCTTGATGACCAACCCTCCGTAGCTATACCCGACAAATACAAGCTTGCGACTTTTTGCCTAGATATTCAGTCAGACGACTCACACTTTATCTCCGCTGTCACTTCCTCATACCTCCTGGGACCGACGTATGCCATTTGCCATGTGCTCCAAAAGATCGCTTCCAATGGTTGCGAGCCTTGCTTGCACCGCATCTCTTTTCCAAAACGAGTCAAAGTTAAAGAAGTAAAGATGAGTGTTGCCAGTGTCTAACTGACGTAAATCATTAGGCAGAAAATCACGAATCCAATTGACATTTGCTTCGCTGGGGTCGGGTCCTTGCGTCGTCCTACGCGCCTGCCATGTTGTGTCCGGATTGGAGCCAAGCCCGTGGACAAATACTATGCTAGGTATCGTTAGCAAAGCTAATACTATCCATGAAATGACAAGAAATATTTACTCGATCCCATTACTGTCTTGTAGTTGAGTATAGTTAATAACTGGCACGAATCCCAGTGGTGCTCTATGTACTTGAGCTGGATTGGTAGGTGAGGGAATTCCACGAATCAAGAAATCGTAGACTATGGCAGCGATAAAGGGTACAATCAACCCCACCGTGTAGATATTCCTCCACATTGTGAGATACCGTGTTTGTTAGAAGCTTGTTACAGCCTTCGGACACCAGCGGCCCAGTCGTTTTCTGTGGAAGTTCCAGAGACTCCTCTCATGGCCGGAGCAAAGCGCAAAGGAAGAAGCGTGAAAAGGGGTGTTAGGGAATGAATCCGAAAAGAACATCTTTGGAGGCTGGCTAGCCCCGCCCCCAGGGTGGATTACTCAGCACTAGTGTGCACATGAAATTATGAGGCCCAACAAAAGTACATAGCTACCTATAGGTCATATGGTATCCTAGAGGTGCGTGTTCATGTTCCTCGTGCTAAGCGTCGGATGACTTTTGAGCGGCCCTTCGGTTTCGAAATCCCCACCATAACTGCCAGCCCAAAACAACAATGGGAGTACCTAATAGCAAGAGCCATATACTGGCAGATGCCATAAGAACAGTTATAGAGAATACCCAAAAGGCGAGGTTCATTCGCGAAAGCCCTATAACGGCGAGCTGGTGCAGGAACCCAGTATCGGTCGGCACGGTCAAGGTGACCTGCATAGCTGAAAGCACGACGGAAAAACTGGCGAAGACAAACAGAAGAGGGATCGTGGCTGATGAGAGATAGTTTGTGATCGACCAATGAGGGATATTATAGAACCAGGCGGTGCGCGCTTGGCTTGGACGAAAAGCGCGCACAGCGCAATCCAGGCGCGAAAGTCGGATCTGACCGTAATGATATCGTTTGGCCACCTGCTCGTCACTTAAATTTTGGAATCGATGGGCAAATCGGGCCCAATCCCCCCATTTCACCTCCGCTGGTATCAAATGGAGTTCCTGGGCCAGCAGAAAATCGGAATGATGCCGCACCAGCAATGCGTACGACCTTAAAAACCCAGCTGCCACAGCTGCCTCAAACCCAGGAAGCAGTGCTTCGGAGTGAACGTCTTTTCGACATAGATACAACGTCCAGAAGCGGTGGTTCAGAAGGCAAATGGGAATCGGCTTGATGTATATTTGATTATGCCGCCAAACGAGGTGAAGGCTTGGGTCCTCGGTGAGAAGGACAACGCGACCTTTCAGTTTCTGTGCATGAAGAGCATCAATGTGTAGGCCTGATTTTCGGGCGACCAGCCAGAGTTTGTCATACAGTTCATCCAAGACCGGAGTTTCTAATTCTCGGAGGAGGAAGTCCTTAACGTCTTGCTGTCGAAGTGCGACCGACGGAAACCCTGGTACATGATCAATTGTAGTTGCCGCATGATTTTCTTGCAGGCTTGAAACTGGGCTGGCCTGCGAATCCAACTCTTCTTTGCTCAGTCCCTCTGAGGGTGTGAATGGCGGTTGAAGAAACATTGTCGTAGACATAGGTAGCTAGTCAGCTATAAACCTTGAGGTTAAGGAGTTGAGTGAGCAGTGCATGATGGGCGCTAAAACCGCTGTGACGCTAAAAAGCAGCAATCCCCACCAGCTCGCTCTTGCAGCATCAGGTATTGGTGCCTAAAATATTGTCCCTGACCGCAGACCTCTGCAGCCTCAAGTGTCAATGGTCACGGGTTGCGCTTGATCTAGTATTCATCAAAACAAAACTTTAAATTGTGTGGAAATGTTGCTTGGATTTCCAATGTAGATCAAGTTAGTCGGCCGTTACTGGTGCCGACCACACTAACCGGCCCCACAATTTTTTTAACAAAAATACGGACCCTCGCAAGCGAGGGTCCGCCACCCATATGCAATAGATCACCCAAATGTAACATTTTTTTTAAATTTACCATTTTCACTTTAATCCACCACCAGCCTATTAACCATATCTAAAATCAATAAACAATTAGAGATTTAGCTAGAGAAAGCTCTCAATTCTCTAGCTAATTAATCTAAACCTAATATCCGGAAAACTATATAAGAATTCGCGGTCCTAATATATCGACTACATTAGCGATAGAAAGGCGGAAAATCACTTTTTTAATAATAACCTAATAGTAGGAAGCTTACTCCTATATAGGATGGGCTTTATATAAATATATTAAATACTTTAATATAGTCGGGGCCTCGATAAACCGCCGCTAAATTAGTATAGTAGCCGATTTAATTCTTGTCAGCGAGATAGAAGGCTACGCAGGAATGATGACGATATAGAGGAACTGTATTAGACTCTAGAGAGAGGAAAGAAGAGAGAGAGGAAGCTATCTACACTAACTACTGGAAGTCCTAGGACCCGGGCTGTCACGTGACAGTGTGATCCTAGAAGTCCCTTTTCTTATATAAACCTGTCTTATATCTCATTAGACGGCTCCGTATAGAGCCGTTTCTACACTTATATATACTATCGTTTCCGTACTATCTAGTACTTAGTTATTAGTAACCCTAACTTAATAATCGTTCCCGAATCTTATCGAGTAGTATATCGGTATAAGCTACCTCCTATAGCTAGCCTAGGGAGGTATAAGACGGTACCGCCTATATCTATATAAGATAGGCGCAGTATTTTTCCCCTTTTATCCTATCCTAATAACAATCCTATAGACCTAAGATATTAGATAAAGAAGGCTTATAGAATATACTATTGTCCTTCCTCTTTTCTCTAATACTCTTAGAATAGAGAAACCTAAAAAGAAGGAGAGACTAGAGATATATAAAATAATATCTCCCCTTTAAAATATAGAGCGGGTCTATTAATAAAGGATATATAATCTATAAAATAAATATAGATTTATATAGATCTATAAAAATCTATCTAGAAAAATAGTATATATAATTCTTTCTAGAATCTAAAAAATATATTATTTTTAAAAGAGATATATATCTCTAAACGCCTATCTAAAGAAAGCTCTAATCTATGTGACGATCTGAGGAGGTTTCTGCTAAAGGTTTCCGCCTTAGTTGTTGTTTATATATGATAGGACCCCACGTATAAAGGATCTCTAATCTTAAGGATCCTTTCTTTCTTTTCCTTTTACTTCTCTATATTTAGTATTCTCGTTAAATACACTCTTTTTAATTAAAGATCTAGCTAGTAATATAATATTAAGTACCACTCTTATTTCTTTAATAGTACGTTTATATAGACTATTATTATAATTAGTTTCGGTCCTATTATTTCCCTACTTTCGTTCTTTAGTATTATATAGCTAAGACCTCGATCCTAATCCCAAACCGAAGTCTCCGACTAATTAAAATAGCCGGATCGAAAAGAAACCTACTAATAAATTAAGGTAAATAGCCTATTACTATATCTAAAGATAATAAAAGTTATAAATAAGAGATAGTCGCTACTCTCAATCCGAATATTCTAACTCCTAATCTATAGAGACTAGTTAATACTAGTAAATATAAGAAAGAAAATAAATCCCTAATCCGCGAATATCTATACTAGACTTTAAATAAAAAGCGGTTCTATAAACTCGCTTATAATTATAAGAAATTAAAAGATAAGATCTAGTAATTTAAAGATAAAATAACTATCCTCTAAACTAAAAAAATTAAAACTAAGATTATAATTAAAATACTTATTTAGGAGCGTAATAAAGCTACTATTTATTAAGATATTATAATTTATAAATATAGTAATTTTATCTTTCGCTTTATAAATATCTAGAATTAGACTAGTTCTAATATACCGATTATAGAGGCCGCTACTATTTATAAAACTATAAAGATATCTAATACTCTAATATTAAATAATAAAAAGGAAGTCTATTTTAAAATCTAAGAAACTATAATTTATTAGAAATTTAAAGCTAATACCGACTATTATCCTCTATCTATTTATTATAAGCTTTATATTTAGAGTCGCTATAAAAGTAAAGCCTAGCTATATATTACTTTTTAGATAAATACTAATACTAGTACCTTTTATAAAAATACCGATAATATTATCTTTTATCTAAAGACTATCTTTATAAACCTAAATCGATATACTAAAGCTTATACTATATATTATAAGTTTAAAATAAAGCTAAAGGATAGTTTTACTAATTTCTTTATAGAATTTATATAGTTTATTAAAGAGATAGCGATTATAATTAAAAACTAGAAGCGAGATTTATACTCTAAACTCCCCTATCTACTTTAAAACTAAATTATATAAATAGTTAATTAGGAATCTATTTTATTTAATATTTTTATCTAGAATTATTAGAGTATATTTTATAAAATTAGTCTATAATAAAAAGTAAAGTCTACTTCCTATATATAATCTTTAGTAGCTATTTTAAAAGGAAATAGCGGTATATCTTTAATAATAGTAAACTAAATATATACTTTTTATATAAAGTGTAAAAGAAATACTAATAATATTAGAATATCGCCTATTAAAAAAGAGACTTTAATAAAAGAAGGATAATATTTCTATTATAAAGAGTAGGGATATATAACTTATAAATATCTAAAGAAAAAACCGACTTTTATAGTTATAGCTACTATTCCTACTATATCTATACCCTATATTAATAAGATTATAGAATTTAAAACTAATACTAATACCGATTTAGGAAAAGCCTATATTTAAATAAAGTCTCTTTTTTAAATAAAAGAAAAGTATTACTATTTTCGCTAGATTTATAAAAATTAATTAAAGATTTTAAAAATAGCTTAATTTTTAATATTTAGCTAATATATAATAGACGCTTATTTCTTATTTTAGTATTTAGTAATATTAGAGTAGATAGATATATTTTTATTAATTTAGTAATAATCCTATTACTAGATAAGCGTTTTAGAATTAGAGTAGAACGACTAAACTATAAATATCTAGTATAAAGATTTAATAGTAAGCTAATAAAACTAATATACTATATCGCTATTCTTATAATCTATATTAATAAAAGAATATAATAATAGATTCTTATATTAATTATATACTTTAGATAATATAATATAATCCTAAAATAGATATAATTTATAGAATATAATATTCTTTTTAACTATTAATAATACTATATAATCTAACTAGATAAAAGAATATTATTTAATAAAATAGTAAATAAAATCTCTATCCTAATACTAAAAGCTATTCTATAAAGATCTCTATAGAATAAAGTCTATTAAAAAGATATAGATTATTAAAATCGCCTTTTAAAGTAGTCTTAGTAAATTAACTAATTTTAAAATAGTATCTATCTTTATATTTATAAACGATAATATAGCTATTAGTAGATAAAGAAATAGAGAAAGATAGTCCGGAATATTAATAATAAAATCTCTTATATTCTAATCTTTTTTTAAAAAAAAAGAGGATTTAGAACTACTATTACTTTTTATCGATATTAATACTATTAATAAAGCCGGATTTAATAGACTATAATTAAAGATAAAAAGAGATCTAGAGAGCGGAGTTAAGATTTTTATAATCTTATTTTATAAGATCGATTAAAGTCTTTCTATAAAATTATCTATTAAAAAAGATTTTAAGTTTAATAAAATTAAAAGAATATTATTAAAAGAATATTATAATCTTATTAAAATATTTTTAAAGAAGAAATTAGATAAACTACTTCTATATTAGTTAGATATAGATTATAATATTATTCTTAAAATTAAAGCTTAACTAGGATACTATCCTTTTTATAAGCTTTCTTTTAATAAATTAAAAGCTATAAAGTAGTATATTATTAAAAATCTTAATAAAGGATTTATCGTTTTAAATACTATACTATATACTTTACTAATTTTTATAGTAAAGAAGCCTAGTAGTAGTCTCTGTTTTTATATAGATTTCTAGAAGCTAAATACTATTATAAAAAAGGATTACTATTTTTTACCCCTAATTAATAAAGTTCTATAATAAACTAATAAGACTAAGTTCTTTATAAAATTAGATATTCGATAAGGTTTCTATCGGATTTATCTAATATTAGAAATAGAAGATTTTATAACTTTCTATATAAGATATAGATCTTTTAAATATAAAGTTATATCTTTTAATCTAACTAATAGTCTTACTATTTTCTTATAATTTATAAATAGTATTTTAAAAAAATATTTAGATAACTATATAATTATATTTATAAATAATATTTTAATCTATAGTAAGACTTTTAAAAAGTATAGATAGTAAGTTAAAGAAGTACTTTTCTATCTATAAAAAGTAGGTCTTTAGATAGTACTATTAAAGTATAAATTTACTATTACTAAAATAAAGTTTCTTAGTTTTATTATAAGTACCGATAATATTATAATCGATCTAAAGAAGATTAGTATAATCTAATTATAAAAGCCTCTATTAATAGTAAAAGGAGTATAGTCGTTCTTAGGTTTCTATAATTTCTACTAATAATTTATTTAAAGATATAGCGCTATTTTAAAGCCTTTATATTATCTAATCTAGTAAGATATTTCCTATAATTAGTCTTTACTTT